GTGTTCTGAATGTTGTATATGCTTTATGAATTTTATTTCTATGTAATCTTTTATATCAAATTACCCTTTATGGGTAATAATTAATACAACTCGTCAAATTTTGCCTGAAACTCTCAGACTGAATAAGTCTCTTGGAGAAGAGACGAAACGTTTCATTAGAGAAGAACCCGTCCAGAGGACCTATACAATGTTTTTCTTTTTGATTTTTTACCTGGATTACTGAGATGCATCAGGACATTAATCACTGGACCATCGTCTTCAACAGACTTTAAAAGTTGAGCTGAAATCTGGTGTGGTAGTAGCTTAGAGTCATCACCAAAACATCAAACATAGAGGAAGTTAAAGATTTTGAGCTTTTTAAACACTTAAATGTTTTCTAATTTGACACTGAATCCCTGAACAGTTGGGACACTGGTTGTTTGAGCTAAAACTTTCTTATATTTTATTGAATCCTTTCTGTTTTTGCCATGATGCAGTTGATGACCAAACACCCTTCCAAGCGTCTGGGCTGTGGCCCTGAAGGAGAGAGGGACATCAGAGAACATGCCTTCTTCAGACGGATCGACTGGGAACGCCTTCGAAACCGAGAGATTCAGCCACCCTTCAAACCCAAAGAGGTTAGTCTGCACCTTCAGGCAACAAATGCTGGTGTATTTAGAGAGATTTACAAGAGAAAGTTAGTCTTCATTAGAGTAGTTTCATTGAGACATTCAGATCATTAAACTTTTAGAGAGCAAAGTGGGACAGGGATTTTTTCTCAACTCATTTCATCAGTTGCAATTAAAATGTCATTAAACCCATTTTTACTACACAATCTGGCAAGGGGGGCTTTCAAATATGGATAAAAACATTTACATGAACATAAAATGTGATTATGCATCTTCTAAACTCGAGAAAGAAATATTTAGTCATTTTAGGTCTGCAGAAGGTCTTTTAAATTCAAACGTGTTACTGTATTGATGTATTGGTGAGGATTTAGTAGTATTATGCTGACAACTTCCAGTATTTACATAGAAAATAATAAACTTGTGATGTTATTGAGGTCGGATTGCTTTCTTTTCAGGATTTTTGAATATTTGCTTGGGATTTACCTGACAATTGATGGAAAACACAACTATGGGGTTTATTTATGTCAGATATCCATAAGACACATTGCTATTTATTATACCTGATAAGTATAAGTACATTGAGGTGAAAGGTAAATATAACACCTTTTTTATTTTTCCTTATTACTCATTAATTTTTTTGTTTTGTTTTGTTTTTTGTTTTTTTAATTCCTCACTCATTTTAAATGATTTAAATTCTAAAAATGTTGTACTATATTAAAACACAGCGGTCTATTCTTTAAAATAATTATCCTATACAAACTATTTTGTGCCTAAATCACAAACACAGTTGCAAAGTGGTCATAGATGATTGTTTTTAGTGAAAATGTTTATTCCTCCATATACAGTATTTTAATCATTCCACCACATTTTGTCAAACATTTTTTTGTAACTCATTGTCATGGAAATATAAACTTTAACAAAAGCTCATATAATGCGAGAGTGCATAAATATGTAAGAAGTCACTTCTCTGTCCCCAAAATGCAAGACATATAATGTCCCTTTGGTATTGTCCCAGCATTATTAAGGACTGTTTTGGTTGTGGTTTTTTTTCCATTTTTCAATACTTATTGTAATAAATAAAAAATTATATAGTGTATTATTTAAATTAAAACATTAAAATTAACTAAAAATGACAAAAATGTGAACTGTTACTTATTTTTCTAGTAGGAAACAAATCAGAAAAAAAGTTTTTGTAGCAATACAATCTGCTTCCTGGATTTGTTTTTCCTCAGTTTTGTCTCATAGATATTGATTTAGTTACATAAAGCATTTTTCAAACAACAGTGTTATAAATAGCTCACACCAGATACGGCTGCAGTATAAATTTCCTCACCATGTATTTAAATATTGATAAAATACCAGCATTAAGGTCTCATTGCTACTGTGAGCTGTTGTTAAATATATTTCCAAAGATGTTATAAAAATAACTGGTTTATATAGAATGAGCTGACGTAATATGACTGCAGTAGCTTGTAGGAAATTTATTAGAAGTGACTGACAGCTCCAAAAATATAAGTAACAAAGATTAATTTGCCCCACTTTATAGTAAAGATGAGTCTCCATATCCCCCTGCCAAAAAAAGCACCTCAACATGCTCTCTAGGCGAGTCTGTTTTAAAGTTTTTTTAAATCATGAATATCTACAACTTTCAGTCTTCACAATATTATAGGTTTTTAATGTGCTTACCTTGCTTATATTTAGAGTCATACGGTGACAGAACTGTCTCGCTGAAGTTGCCTCTTGCATGATTCCAGGTGCAGTTAAGCTCAAAAGATGAGGGAGATGAAAGAGAGCAAAAATAATAAACAGATTTTTTTATTGTAACCGTGGTCACCTCCACCAGAATTATGCCTTTTTTATTATGCTACGTAATAATGTTGTTCCAAAGTGCGTCATCAGCAAACAGCTGTCATTACACATCGCCTTCTCACCGTTCGCCTGATTCATCTTGTTTCTGTCAGCCAACTGCTCCTCTTTGCTTTTCCTGTTTTTTTTTTTGCTGCTCAACCTCACTTCATCCTGCTGTGACAGAACAGCCATCAATCCACCAGCTGTGCCCAACTGAGACGTTCAGATCATTTCTATCTGTTGGGCCAGGCCAAGGCAGACTGTGTTAGTGTAAATTAGTAATTATAGTGGTTAGGGGTGTCACTTTGCAGGACTCTCCTGTGGGTAACAAAATATGAGCCGAAAGTGTTGAAAACTGGCTTTTTTTTTAAAGAATAAAACACTTGATGTCCACTTTATTTCATACCTGAATGTCTGATCTTCCTTGTGGCCCAAAGGGAAGCAGGACAGCAAAGTAGGTCAAATCTGAATCTGCTGAATCATTGTGATTGAAAGGAATGAGGCAGACCAATGCTGAGTGGGAGAACTTAGTCATTAGAGAAAAGTCTTGGAGCAGAGTCCGGGGAATGGATATGCATATTGCAGAGGGTACGAGAACACAAACACACTCATAAAAACTGTGAGCAAGGTGAACGAGTTGTGACTCTTAGCAGCCTGAGACAAACGCAGCTGCAGCTGGATCGAGTCTATCTGAATGTCTTTTTGCAGGCTGCATGTTAAATCAACATTACTTTTTCTGTCACAGTTATACAGTAGCTTGTGCTCAGAAAATAAATTCTGAAAAAAATCGGAGGAAATTGGCAAATATTAAATCTTAGTTTTAAAAACTGTTGGAGGCAAAAATCTGTGTGCGTGCGTGCGTGCGTGCGTGCGTGCGTGCGTGCGTGTGTGTGTGTGTGTGTGTGTGTGTGTGTGTGTGTTGGACAAAGAAGATTTGAAACTAACCTTTCTCACTAGACATAAATAGGTTGCCATCAGTGGGACTCAACCCATCCTGTATATTAAAGGCAACTCTTTAATCTGACCATTTACCAGGTTCCAGAGACCTTTTTCTCCCTCACTCAGACCCAAATCTTTAATTTAACAAAAATAAACCATCGTCGCTCCCAGAGCCTGAAATGGCACCAAGAACAGGGGTCCGAATATCTGATATCGTGCTAAATTTACTTTAGTTACTGTTAAATATGTTTTTTGTTTTGTACCTGGAGTTTCTAGCTGTGCAGAAATGTTGAATTTAGTCTTTTCCAGTGACGCGCCAATTTCTTTATGTTCTGGTTGGGTTGTATTTTTTGGATTTAAAAAAGACAGCCTCAAAACTAAACACAGGAGGTCTACGAAGAGCAGAACCAGGAGTGAACAGATTCACAGCGGGCAGAGTTCAAAGTTAAGTGATTTTATTTACAGGTGCAGTGGCGATCAGGTCCAGGCTGTAAAAGTTTGCCTGTGGAGCAGGCAGATTAGAGAAGTGGGGTTTGCAGTTCCACTTTAAATAGACACAAATGGAATGATTTAAAGTCACAGTGTGTAGGATTTGTTGTTTTCAGCGACATCTAGTGGTTGAGTGGTTGAATCATCCTCCCTGGTCCTCCCCCCCAGCTTTTTATAAGGTAAAAATAACAAAACAAGGTCTTTGTCTGCAATGATTAGACATGTTTTTTATTATTGTCATTAGTGATTATCTCAATTTCGGCTAAAAGAACTGACAAAATCCTACACACTGTGCCTTTAAATGTGAAAAAAATAAAGCATCATTACTCCATTAGCTTTGAATAAACTGAAATATTGCTTGTGATTATTGCCCAAAGACGCCAAGTTTTTAGTATTGTCTCAAAACTTGAAAGCCTAGTTTTTTTATTTCAAACTCTGGGGCCTAAAGTCATTTTTTCTCCAGCAATAGTAAACGGTTTCAGCTATTCGTTATTTTTTCCCATTAATAAATTATAAAATAAGGTTATTAAATATTGATGAGTGTTACTGCAAAACAACTTCATCGGGATCAGAAAAGTAAAGATGGCCGAAACTTGCATTTTTCTCTCATGATTTTACAAAGCATACAAACTCAAATGACCAATCCTCCTGTGTGAGCTGTTAACACAAGGAAATCGTTCAGCGAAGAAAGCAAAATGTTTCAGAGAAAAGAGGAACAGGTTTGTGTACAAATAGCTTCAGGCATCGGGGACGCAGAAAACACACATACACGAAGACGGTGCGTGTGTGTGTGTGTGTGTGTGTGTGTGTGTGTGTGTGTGTGTGTGTGTGTGTGTGTGTGTCTCAGCATCACCCTAATGGAGGCATGCACTCATTTATCTTCCTAAGTAGCAGAGTACTCTTTAATATACTTGAGTGCAGAGTCCTGCGCATCTGTATGCATGCACTGAGGAGAGGGAGAGAGATTACAGATGAGAGAAAATAGGTCAAAAACTCACGTAGGACACTGTGTCATGATGTATGAAATAACGGGATTCTCCCAATAAATCTTAAATTAATTTCTCAGTGCCAAATGGGAGATATTTGCTTTACCATACAGACAATTTTATGCCTCTACCAACATTTTGCTTTGTCCCTTTTCATTATTGCAGAGCTCTCTGTGTGTCCACAGTCTGTCCGAAGCTTTATCCCACATATGCTTTCTGCACATAGTGGCTGGAGTATTGCCCGGCAGCAGTCAGATGTCACAAGGATTAACTGCTCTGGGTTATAAAAAGGGACATTTGTGGGCAGGAAATTGTCGTAGAAGGTCAAACTTAAAAGTGCATTGCTCCACATGATGAATGTTTACTGATGGATTGAAGACGACAAGTGGACAAAAACGCACAGCAGCCGAAGGATGCTGGTTGATTAGGGCGTACGCTGTGTAGAGGGAGGAGAACTGTTCTGAACTGTAATTTCATTGTGCTCTGTACGATGACAATAAAGCTCTCTCTAATCTAATCTAACATTCAGGAGCCAAACACACCAACATGTGCAGCCACATTTACTTTCCATCTTGTAGTGTGTGAATGTGTGTACTTGTTTCTGCTACAGAGTGAGGACCATTTGCGACATACAGTAGTTACTTTCAAAGTGAGGTCTTTGATGTAAAGTGAGGATCTTGTCCCAGTCATCACTTTGTTTGCAGCTCTACTAGTTAGGTTTAGAGGTCTGTGTGTCCACAGTCTGTC